GACCTCACAACAAAAGTGCACCCGTACTCGTGGACATACGAGGCAAACATGCTTTGGCTGGATCAGCCTACAAGCGTCGGGTTCTCGTACAGTTCTGGTGGAGACCACGACTACAACGAGAAGGACGTGGGCGAAAACTTGTATTGGTTTCTGCAGGGTTTTATTGAGATGCATCCGGAGTTTGATGGACGAGAGTTCTTCTTAACTGGCGAGAGCTATGGTGGACATTATGTCCCTGGAGCGGCACACTACATATGGGAACAAAACAAGAAGAACGAGGTCACTGGCGTAAAGAGCATCAATCTACAAGGAATCGCGGTTGGGAACGGATGGACGGACCCAGTTGTGCAGGTATGTAGACATGCTAGAGAGTTTTGTGCGGATATTTTCATTAATATTTTGGTTATTTCCAGTACCAACACGCTCCTGATATTCTCGACAACTCGTATAACATCACGCTGCTCGACGAAGCGGTGGCTGAACAACTCAAGGTCAACGCTGCCAAATGTGCTCAACTGACGCGCGAGTGTCAGCAATCTCCCAATAACTCATCATGTGTCGAGCAAGACGCGTTCTGCTTCGAGAACGGCTTCCTTGCACTCTCCGCCAACCAAACTGGTCGCAACCCCTACGATGTGAGGGAACACTGCGATTGGGTGGACTTTGGCTTTTGCCATGGTATTCCGCTTATCGAGGAGTTCCTCGCTCAAGATGCAGTGCACAAATATTTGAACGTTGACCGCGACTGGGTCGGGGGTAGTGCCGAAGTAGCCGAAAACTTTGTCATCGATACCTTGCAGTCGTTCGACAGTTACGTTGCGGATCTATTGAACAACGACGTTCGAGTGCTTCTGTATATCGGTGATGCTGATGCAATGTGCAACTGGTGGGGTAATAAAGCTTGGATCGACGCTCTCGAGTGGAAGGGCAGCGAGGGCTTCAATGCAGCGGAGGAGAAGTCGCTGCTGACTCAAGACTTGCTTAACCCTAATGCTGCTCCGACGGATACTGGTACGGCGAGATCTTTCGAGAACCTTGCTTTGGTGCGCGTTTTCAACTCGGGCCACATGGTGCCGACGCATCAACCTGCTGCGTCCTTAGATCTCATCAACAAATTCTTCAAGAATGAAGCGCTAGCGTAACATGACGGAGTTGCTACCACAGATACGCATTGTTTACTGAAAAATTACCCGTACTCAAGTGCTTTTTACGCTTTCATTGCTTGCATGATCTTTGACCTGGGATAATCCTGGGAGGATTGCCAATCACCCTTCCTCCGATCAGTTTGCGTTGTCATTCATCATTTTGCCCCCAAGTACCAGAACAGACGATGGCGAGCGACGAATTGTCTCCTTTGGTCGCACCAGCGGACCATACTGTCAGGATCAATGATCGTAGCAAGAAGGCGATTATTCTGAAGTTGACACTCGGTGGAGCGTTGCTAGTGCTGGCGCTGTGGCTAATTCAAGATCACGGGCGTTCGGCTTCAGCCCCGAAGGGATCTTATATCTGCGGTGTAACCAACAGCTCAGCGGGTCATATCAAGCTAGCGAACAAGGAGGATGACCACTATTTCTACTGGTTCTTCGAGTCGCGCACCAACCCCGAGACGGATCCGCTGGTCTTGTGGCTCACAGGCGGTCCCGGTTCCTCCAGTATGTTTGCACTCTTGACTGAGAACGGCCCGTGCACCATACAACCCGACCTGAGTACCAAATTAAATCCGTACGCTTGGAATACCAACGCCAACGTCATTTGGCTTGACCAACCAACAGGTGTGGGTTATTCCTTCGGTTCTCCTGCAGACAAAGATTTTAATGAAACCAATGTGGGTGAAAATATTTACTGGTTTTTGCGAGGATTTCTGGAAAAACACCCACAATTTCAGAACCGCGAGTTCTTCGTGACGGGTGAAAGCTATGGCGGTCACTATGTCCCAGCTGCAGCGCACTACATTTGGTCGTTGAACAAGGAAGTCAAGGGGAACGACGAGGTTCCGCTTATCAATTTACAAGGCTTGGCAATCGGCAATGGCCTCACCAACCCGGTAATTCAATACGCCTACTACCAAGACATGAACCACAACCGTTATAACCTCACGCTCCTTACAGACGCCGAGGAGCAGCAGATGAGGGCCGACAGTGTGGAGTGTATTCGCTTGACCCAAGAGTGTCAAGCAGCACCACGCAACGGGAGTGTTTGCAAGGAAGCACCAGAATGTTGGTCTGAAAAGCTAATTGCTCCTTTCAGCAAGGCAAACCGCGATAACTACGACATTCGCCAGTCATGCAACAACAGCGACCCCAACTCCGCTTGCGATGATCATCCTCTCATTAGAGAGTACTTGAATTCGCCCGAAGTGCGCAAATATTTGAACGTGGATGAACGTGCTCCTGCCTGGCACGAAGATAACGACGAAGTGGAGACGACATTCACCACTGACGGCGACTGGTCCATGCCATTCCACCAATTCGTCGCGGAGATGCTGGACGACGGTCTTCGCGTGCTTATTTACGCCGGAGACGCTGATCTCATGTGTAACTGGATCGGCAATCGAGCCTGGACGTTGGAACTCGATTGGCAAGGCAAAGACGGCTACAACGCAGTCAAAGAGAAAGTATTCATCGCTCACGACCCGTTGTTACCCGATGGTAGCAACATTGACGCTGGTGTGGTTCGCTCGTTCGAGAACTTCGCGTTTGTTCGAGTGTACGATGCTGGACACATGGTGCCAATGAACCAGCCTGCAGTCTCGCTAGACCTCATCAACAGGTTCTTCACGAACAAAACGCTGTAGGTTGATAAACTGATTGGATATGAATGAAACTTGTCCTATCTTGTAAGATCGCTCCTTGTCACCTCATTATCAAATCAGCTTTGTCAACGTACAAGGCAAGGACCGCGTAGTTTATCATGCCGCGGCTGAACGAGAAGACCCGACTGCTGCCTGCCGTGCAAACCATTTACGGGTCCTCCAGCAAAAAGCTAAAGGCCAAACGCTGCCTGATAGTACTAGGCATCGTGACAGCGTTGGTTCTGGCTGGATTGAGCCTGTGGTGGCTGTTTTTCGACAACTATAAGTCGGTACCAGCAACAGTCAAGTTTATCTGCGGCGACACGAAGAATGAGGCCGGTTACATCAAGCTACTCAATAAGGAAGACGATTATTACTTCTACTGGTTCTTTGAGTCGCGCACCAGTCCCGAGACGGATGCACTAGTATTGTGGCTTACTGGAGGCCCCGGAGGCTCCGGGTTGTTCGCTCTTCTCGCCGAGAACGGCCCGTGCAGCATCCAACCCGACTTGAGTACCAAACTCAATCCGTACTCTTGGAACCTCAACGCCAACATGATTTGGCTAGACCAACCGACCGGCACAGGCTTCTCGTTTGGTTCTTCTGCAGACACAGACTACAATGAAACCAACGTGGCCGAGAACATCTACTGGTTCTTACAGAGATTCTTGGAGAAACACCCTGAGTACCAGAACCGCGAGTTTTTCCTGACGGGTGAGAGCTATGGTGGACACTACGTTCCAGCTGCAGCGCACTACATGCAGAAGATGAATCAAGAGAGTGGAGAGCTCCCGATCATCAATCTACAAGGCCTGGCCATCGGCAACAGCCTCACGAATGCGATGATTCAATATGCTCACTACCAAGACATGAACCACAACCGGTACAACATCGCGCTGTTGACTGACGCTGAAGTAGAGAAGATGAAGATGGACAGCGTTGCGTGCATCCAGCTCACTCACGAGTGTCAGACGTCACCGAATAATGCGACTTTGTGTCTTCTGGGTGTAGATTGTTGGGATAAGAAGCTGGTACAGCCATTGAGCAAGGCGAATCGCAATAACTACGACATCCGCGAGCCGTGCAACAACAGCGACCCTCATGCAATCTGCGGAGACTTCCCCATTATTGCGGGGTACTTGAACTCTCCAGCAGTACGTGAGTATTTGAGTGTCGATGAGCGTTCTCCTGCGTGGGTGGAAGAGAACGAGGACATTCACACGAGATTCATCGCAGACGGGGACTGGGCTGCATCGTATGATACGTACGTCGGGGAATTGCTGAATGATGGTCTCCGTGTGCTCATTTACGCCGGCGACGCCGATCTGATGTGCAATTGGGTCGGCAATCGAGCGTGGACATTAGACCTCGACTGGCGAGGCAAGGATGGCTTTAATACAGCCGAGAAGCGATCATTCATCGCTCACGACCCCTTGCAGCAGCACAGCCGTATGATTAATGCTGGTGAAGTCTGGACGTTCGAGAACCTTGCGTTCGTCCGCGTGTATGATGCTGGTCACATGGTGCCGACCAACCAACCGGCAGTCTCTTTAGATCTCATTAACCGGTTCTTCGCCAACAAGGAATTGTAGAAAACCTCTTCGCATACTATCAGCACATTATTGCACGGACAGTGCGATTCCTACATTCAACTACAGTTTGTCGTCTCCACTCATTCGTCACTTGAAGATCTTCCCAGCTCAGTAGACGCCATGGTGGACGAGTCAACTCCGTTGTACTCGGATCTGCGCGCAGCCGAGATCTATCGCCAGCGGCGCATTGCTAAGATCGTGGCTTTAGGAACCTTGACGCTGGTGATCGTCGTGGTGTTCGGCTTTGCGACTACCGCGAACCAGACGCCGTCGCTCGCCACTGTCACGGATGCAGATGATGCGACAACAGTGTGTGGCAGCGCAGCGAATGAAGCGGGGTACATCAAGCTGCCAAACAAGCAGGACGATCATTATTTCTACTGGTTCTTTGAGTCCCGTAAAGCTCCAGCAACGGACCCGCTCGTCCTCTGGCTCAGTGGAGGCCCTGGAGTCTCCAGTCTGTTGACGCTCTTGAGCGAGAATGGCCCGTGCTTCGTCAGTGAAGACTTGTCCACTGAGATCAACCCGAACTCGTGGAACACTGAAGCCAATGTCATCTGGTTGGATCAACCCACGAACGTCGGCTACTCGGTCGGCAGCCCGGCGGACGTCGATCACGACGAGAATGACGTCCAGGAGAACATCTTCTGGTTCCTCCAGGGATTTATGGACAAGCACCCAGAGCTCCAAGACCGGCCATTGTTCCTCGCAGGCGAGAGCTACGCTGGCCACTATGTTCCTGCGGCGGCGCACAAGATCTACCAGGAGAACAAGACGGCCAAGAAGGGGCGTCTCAACCTTCAGGGCATCGCTATCGGCAACGGCTTGGTCAACACTGTCGTGCAGGTAAACGCACTACATATACTAATAATTAACAATGAAAAAAGAAACTTAACCATCGCTGTGTACTAGAGCAAGCACGGCTTGGATATGGTCGACAACGCGTACGGAGTTAAGTTGATGGACGACGAGACTCTGGCGAGAGCAAAGATCGCAGAGAAGCAGTGCATCTCGCTTGTAAGAGCCTGCCAAACAAACTTGAGCGTGTGTATCGAGGCTGCAGAGTTCTGCGAACTCAATGTCATGGGCGCGTACGTTGGTGCGGGTCGCAACATGATGGACATCCGTCAGGAATGCACTGAGCTAGATCCGATCTACTGTTACGGAGATATGGTCAAGCGTATCACCGGGTATCTGAACTCAGACACAGTACGTTCATACCTGCATGTATCGGGTGTGCACCCCGCACCGTGGCAGGCGGCAGCGGCGGATGTAGAGCTGGCGTTCGCTGCGGACTTGATGAAGACGTTCGAGCAGCACGTTGAGGAGCTGCTGGGTGACAGCTCTGTCCGTGTGCTGATCTATCATGGCGACGCCGACCTGGTGTGCAACTGGTACGGCGGACTGGCGTGGACAAGAGCGTTAGCGTGGCCTCATCAAAAGGAGTTCCAGACGGTCGAGGAGCACGTGTTTGAGGTCGATGCGAGAGACACCGGGAGTGTTTGGACGTACGCCAAGCGACTGACGTTCCTGCGAGTGTTCAACGCGGGTCACATGGCGGCTATGGATCAACCGGAAGTGGCGCTCGAGATGATCAACCGGTTCCTCCGCAATGAAGAGCTGTAGGCATTTGACAATTGAGTCAATTGAAATGCCCATGTTTGTGTTGAAGTGATTTTAGCTCGCAAGACACACCTGATAACTTTGGCTCGTTTATGAACTACTGACGTGGACATATGAATCAGGTGCTTGATGAGTATGAGATTGCCATTGCGAGCCTCCAGCTTCGAGCTGTTCCCTACAGCAATGGCTCTGGTTGAGCTGCCTTCGCGACGTCTACGCTAGGAGCCGACTTGCGAATTTCCGGCGCAAGACATGGTGCAATGGCACAGTGCGGAGTCGTGGCAGATGAAGAGCATAGTGGTCATGTATCGCATGATGACATGGAGCATTGCGCATTCCAGGAACTCGCCTTGTACCATGATTCATTCGCTCTGCTCAACGAGCATCATACCAAGCCTTGGCTCTCGCAACGTTGTCGGGCTTTGATCGCGTCACTGTGCTGCAGACCAATGCCTTCGCCGCCGCCGCGGCCATGCTCGTAGATGGCTTCACAACCAAGATCACTAGCCCGCGATACAAATCTTGCGTTGACAATCAAAGCTTGGTCCGACGCAGCAGACCAAGCAGCAGGGCCACCCACAAGCTTCTATATTTGTGTGGTTTCGCTTACGCCGACCTGTCAGCGGCTTTGATTCGCCCTCGTGCACGCAGCCTCCCCTCTGCCATGGAAGCTTCTCTAGGGGCTGATTCCAGAAGCTCATTTCTCGATTGTCGCCGCAGAGTGCATTGCGTATCTGAGTCTTTGATAGTAGAATCCACCCGGACAGTATGCCCACGGAAAGAACCCCCTTGCGCGGCGAGCAGTATGCCTCGGATGCCCAGAAGCGCAAACGCATTGTCGGCATCACGGGCGCTGTCGTAGTCATCGCGGCGGTCGTTGTCGTGCTGTGGCTCACGCTCAGCGGCCACAGCTCCAAGTCCACCGAGGCGACGGAGCAGACCACTCCTGAGCCCACCCCCGCGCTCCGAACGGAGGCCCCAGTCATCACCGATCTTCCGACCGTGGCCCCTACTGAGGCCCCTGCTCAGCCTGCTACCGAGCCCCCTGCTGAGCCCGCCACGGATGTCCCCGCTGAACCGAACACGGAAGCTCCGGCCCAGCCTCCTGCTGATCCCCCTGCTGAGCAACCGGCCGCCGCCCCTGCTGACAAGCAGCCTGCCGCTGAGCCTGCAGCGGCCGCACAGCCTGTCCCTGCCGCCGAACCCGTACCTGCTGGGCCCGTGCCTGCCGCACAGCCTGCTCCCGACGCTGAGCCTCAGCCTCAGCCTCAGCCTGCTGCCGACGCTGCTCCAGCTCAGCCTGTGGATGCAGCTCCGGCTCAGCCTGTTGCTGCTCCCCAGGATCAGCCAGTCCAGTAAACTTTAGATCGCTGGAGACTCGGAGCTTTGAGGAGCCCCTCCACCTCCGATCCAAACTTGATCTATCCATAGTTCACAGCATAATTGCACCTCACTATAATGCCATTTTTGTCGTGCTTCCACCTAGATTTGAGTCAACATGAAATCATCTTGTATGGATTCAGTCTCCAATGTATTGGAGGCCGCTACATGTAATCGCACCTTCCAGTGTTCACAACCGAGTCTCTGATCGATAGCTGACAACATAATCAGATATGCGACAGACACGTGCGTGGCAAACCACGCAAACCCAAGCAGAAAACTGAAGATCGGTGGTGAATCTCGAAGCCTATCCGACTCGATGGGATCCTGCAGCCTACAGCAAGTGAGGCAGTGCCTCAGGCACCGCGGTCGGCACTTGACCATCGAACCTCGGCGTCATTGCTCACTATTTTAAATTTTGTGGTCTTGAGGACACGCTTGAGCAGCGATATTATGGTGACTGAGACTACGCCACTGCGCAATGCCGAGCGCCGACCACTGGAGCCGTACGCGCACCACAAGAGACGCATTGCTGGTCTCGCAGTTGTCGGCCTCATCCTGGTGGTGGTCGCTGTGCTCACGACGACGAATATTGGCAAGAAGACGCACTCACAGGCGATACCACAGCAGCCGATCAAAGTGACGGAGCCTCACACAGACCTGACGCCGCTGAATACTACGAGGCATCACCATACGCCCGCGCCGACGTCCAAGAACTGGTTCCAATGCGGAACCGAGAGGAGCGAGGCTGGCTACATCACGCTGCCTTACAACGTAGGCGATCACCTATTCTACTGGTTCTTCGAGTCTCGAAAGGCCCCAGCCAGCGACCCGTTGGTGCTGTGGATGACCGGTAGCGGCTCAAGCTGCTTTAGCCTCGTGACGCTCCTGACGGAGAACGGCCCGTGCCAGATTATCTCGGAGGGTACTACAGCACTGAATCCGTACTCGTGGACGTCAGAGGCGAACGTGGTTTGGCTGGACCAGCCTACGAACGTCGGGTTCTCGTACGGTAGTAATGCTAGAGCACAATTCAATGCGGGGGACGTGCAGAGGAATGTGTACTGGTTCCTACAGAGATTCCTAGACAAGCATCCAGAGTTTCAAGGAAGAGCTCTGTTTCTAGCAGGAGAGGGGTATCCAGCTCACTACATTCCAGCTGCTGCACACTACATTTGGAGAGAGAACTCCATTGTGGAGAAGGCAAATGCTACGGTTCGCATAAACCTCGAGGGTATCGCTATCGGCAACGGTTTGGTGAACCCTGCTGTACAAGTATGACTCTTATCCGTGCTTTTGAGCTGATCAATCTGACGGCATTATGTTGTTTTGTAGATGCCGCATGCGCTGGACATGGCTGTCAGCAACTCATACAATATTTCTTTGATTAACCCTACAGATCTGGCTGCCGCGAAAGAAGCGGTGCCAGTCTGCCACGAGCTTCTGAATGTGTGCCAGACGAACTCGAGTGCTTGCACAGGGGCGTCACGCTTCTGTTCAAGTTTTCTATTAGACGCCATGGACAGCTCGCATAGAAACAGGTACGATATCCGCAAGAAATGCGACCCCAGTGATCCGTCAGGATGCTACAATACGTCTGCCGTCGCCGAATACCTCAACTCGAATGCTGTCCGTGCGTACCTCAGCGTCTCCGATCAAGTGAGTTCATGGCAGCAGTGCTCCAGCTCGAATCGCGAGCACTACTCGGACTTGATGATGAACTTTGACGGATACGTCGCTGATTTATTGAACGACGGGTTTATCCGCGTGTTAATCTACAGCGGCGATGCAGATTTGGTTTGCAATTGGCGTGGAAGTGACGCTTGGACGAAGCAGCTCAAGTGGAAACATCAGCGCGATTTCAATGATGCAAGAAAGCACATTTTTCTAGTGGCTGGAGAGATTGATACCGTCGACGCTGGTACTGTCCGCACGTACAACAACCAATTCACATTCCTTCGTGTCTTCGAGGCTGGCCACGTGGTTTCCAAGGATCAACCTGCAGTCGCACTCGCGATGATCAACCGATTCATCAAGAACCAAAGTCTGCAGACCCGTTAACAGCGAGGTCAGCTAAAGTACAATTCACTTCAACTTTGCAAGTTGAAGTGGTAACAAAAATGTCTTATCCAATCAAAAACATACTCAGATCTGATTCCGAATGTGAATCATCTTCACTTTTCGGATCTCCCAAGATGAGGCGAACGTCGGAGTTGACCCCGCTTGTGACGGAGGGCGCTCGCTCCTCAAGTCCAGCGCTCAGGTCTCATTCGCCTGCCACACGCATCTCTCTGCTCGTGGTCACTGGCGTGGCGCTGCTGCTCACGCTCACGTTCGTGGTGCGCCAAGATTCGTCATTATCAAGTTTGAAGAACCTCAAAGGCATAACGCGTAACAATTTTGAGGGACCTCAAGACGAGTTCTTTTGCGGGATTACGAATCACGAGACGGGCTACATTAAGCTGCCGAACAAGGATGACGACCACTATTTCTACTGGTTCGTCGAGTCGCGCAGTGACCCACAGTCAGACCCGTTAGTTCTCTGGTTAACTGGAGGACCTGGTTGCTCCAGTATGATGGCACTGTTAGCAGAGAATGGCCCTTGCCAAGTACAACCAGATCTGTCTACCAAGACCAATCCGTACTCATGGAACGGACACGCAAATGTTATTTGGCTAGACCAACCAACCGGAGTCGGATACTCTTACGGCCCCACAGTGGACTATGACTCCGGAGAGCTCAACGTGGCTGAGAACATCTACTGGTTCTTGCAAGAGTTCCTTAAAAAGCACCCAGACTTGGCTGATCGGGAATTCTTCGTGACTGGGGAGAGCTATGGGGGACACTATGTCCCTGCAGCCGCTAGTCATATTCTAAAAGCCAATATGCTCCGACACTTGAAACCTGACGCTGTGCACATTACTCTGGCCGGTATTGCGGTCGGAAATGGACTGACCGATCCAGCGGTGCAGTATCAGCATAGTGTGGACATGGCGTTCAACTCGTACAATGTGTCGCTGCTGGACGAACAAGCCATTGAAGTGATGCGTAAGGCGCAGCCTGTATGCCATGAGCTAATCGTGCAGTGCCAAAAAGAACGTTCTAAATGCGTTGACGCCTTGGAGTTCTGCTTTGGAGCGCTAGAAGGACCGTACTACCAGTCCGGACGCAACCCGTACGATATCCGCGAGCCGTGCACTGAAGAGAACGTCATGAAGTGTTTCCACTTTGAGCATATTGATGAGTACTTGAACACGCCTAGTGTACTGGACAAGCTTGGAGTTGACGTGCACAAGTCGAAACCATGGCGAGAATGTGATGCAATAGTCGGTGCGGGTTTCGCATTCGATGAAATGCTGTCCTCTGCTGAGGATGTTAAACTCTTACTAGATGCCGGTGTAAGAGTGCTGATTTACGCTGGCGACGCTGATCTCATGTGCAATTGGGTGGGCAACCAAGCGTGGGTAATGGCACTGGATTGGAGCGGCAAAGCGGAGTTTAACTATGCACCCAACCGTCCGTTTATTACGTCCGAAGCCCAGGATGCTGGTCGTGTTCGGTCGTTTGAGAACTTGGCGTTTATTCGTGTGTTCAACTCTGGTCACATGGTCCCCATGGACCAACCATCGGTTTCTTTCGAGATGATTAACAAGTTCTTCCAGAACGAGGATTTCTGAGCTGAACATCAGCAGAAAGAAGTGTGAAAATACAACGAGATCTGTTAATACAAACACAAGCTGGCAAGAAATCGTGGAGGAGTTTGACGGACATATCGAAGAAGATTTTCAATTCATTTTCATTTTTGTTGTTGTTGTTGCAAGACAAAAGCTGGGAAAAAGCTTGAAAAAAAGCTTGGAGGAAACTAGAGTCGAAACTGCAATAAATAGCTTCCAAGTGCAATTCACCACCACAAGCTCACCGTAACAAGAAAAAAAAATGCTCCAAGACCGACACCCACTCTCATTCACTCTCATACTACTCCAGACGAATTCGCTTCCTGTCGCCACCACTAGTGTCTCCACCACACTGTTCCTTCAACTGGTTAAGCTCTGTCTTGTACGCCTGCAATTTGTGCTGACATTCGTTAAAATACTTGCGCGTTTTCGTAATTGTCACGACAGCATCGGCATTCGTCGAGCTAGCTTCTGTCTCGAATGAGGCATTCACTTGTTCTTCACGGATCCATTTAGCAGCGTAATTGTTGGCATCTTGAAAACTCTTAAACTTTTGCACTTTCTTGGTCACCTTCATGGTAGCGTCGGGACCTCGTAGAAAGATTTCCACTTTGTTGTTGTCCGGGAATGAGGCGTGCGGCATTTCCCACGAGAAGGGCTTATCCATTGACTCGATTTGATCCGTCAACCATTGCATCCGTTTAGTAGCGATGGCAGCAAGCTCTTCAACCTTCTCAATGTCAGCCCAGAATGGAAGAGACTTCTCAATGACTGAGCCCAGTCGACTCGGATCAATTTGGTTCAATATCGTTGACACCTTATCGATAACGGTCTTTTCACTGCTACGACTTATCCATTTCAACAGAAGCCCAACGTCCCGAAATAAGCGTATATCCTCTTTATCCAGCGCTTCTGCCATTTGAAATATCATTCTCAGGAGAGCGTCCTGGGCAGCCCCGTTATCCAACCCGTCAACGATTTGAAGCGCCATTCTCATTCTTGACTCTTCGTGATCATATACCTTTATATCATACTTGTTCCAGCTACCGAAACGATGAAGTAGGTCTTCACCATAGTCTTTCCAGTCGAATGTCCGTAAAATCTTGGTGATTACAGGGACTAGAGAGGCCCAGTTTTTCAGTCTACCAAATGGAGGGGAAAACACTGGAATCGGAGGCTCCAAGCTTCCAAACTTGGAACTAGTGTCGGTGAAAAACATTTTCACGAGCTCAGAGTCACGGGCATCCAAGAGCATCTCGCAAATTAAGCAAAAAGATTTAACAGAGAGATCATCTCGGTTGAAATATTTTCTCCCCTCGTCAAGTCTTGTACCGATATCATTCAGTAAATTTCTCAATGTTGCAGCGTCAATAGGTTTACGCGCGTAAACAGTATCAACAACTACATCGATGGGCATGAATGCTAGCGCTTTGTCTTCGTGCTGAGCTGCAGGCCATGCAACAATCGCGTACGCGGCATATTCGATGTGAATCGCTCCATATTTCTCGGTGCGGTTGACTTCGTGCCGTGCCCATATTTGCCTAATCGTTTCCAGAGCTGGATTGAGGAAGTTTAATACCATAGTCGACTGCCCAACTTGTCCTAAACACGCGCCATTGATATCGTACCAGCACATAGCCTCACAGTGTTTGTTATCCGCACGCGGTACTTGTTTAACGTAAATTTGGTGTGCCAACCGAACAAGAAATAGCTTCAGTTTCTTGGCGGCAGGAACGAGTGTGTTTGCTTCTTCAAGAGCGTGAACTTGCACGCTGTCAATACCTTTTAGTGCTTCAATATCCATCTTTTCGATATTTTTGCTAATGTATTCGTGGGACAGTAATAACGCGAACGAATCATCCTCGGGATCCATCATTGAGATTGCACTTGCCAGATCTTCACTTAGAGGAACATCATAAGTCTTTTTCCGGTGGCGCATTGTCTCAGGTAGACACAGTGAGTAAACCAATGCGAACCGATAGCCCTTCGTAATTTTCTCCACTGTGTGCTCAGCATCAGGGTAGTGAACTGTATAGTGAGGAAGGAAAGTAGCTGTACCATCAATCTTTCCAGAATCATGACGGAACTTTCCTTCTCCACCTCGCCAAATCACCAAGTCTCCTCCTTCATAAGAACTTGGTAGTTGAATTACAAGCGTGACAATTGTGTCATCCTCTTTCTTTATACCCAGGTTCTTCACAAAATGCCCTTGCTCTCCAGAGACTAGCAACTTGTACAACTTACTCTGAAGTGTAATGCATTGGTAGCCCAATCGATCTGCGATGCTATGTGTTAATTTTTCGATGCCGCTTTGCCACGCCATATTCTCAAAACGCGCTTGAGTGGGCCGGACGTTTTTTTCCGTGTTGGTGTCCAAGTTGTGACCAGAGGGGGACTGTTCACATACGGAGATTAGCTTTTGTGCTCTCTCTGTAGTTAGAGGAACAGGAATTGACCCCACTCCGTCGACAACCAACCCGGGCGCCGCTGGTAAAGCTTTGGCTTGTCCTCCAAACGAGTACTCTCCAACTTGCTCATCCGCTCGACTCAACATCTTGCTAATTTGAACTACAGTATTGCCTGACGGAACTGGAACATCTTCGGGCGTGCCTTCAAAACCAAAAGGCCACTTCCCATCTTCAAAGTCTTCCCCCACTTTTGCGCTCATGCTGGCCGTTGTGAAAATGAAAAAAAAAAAAACTAACTTGTATTCCGTATGACAGAGAGGAATCGACTTGATCAGATCACGTCCATCAAACATCATTATTTTTCAAATAAAATCAGAGCAATTACCATGATCGGAATATGTCTTAGCAAAGAAAAAAAAACAAATTTCTTGCTTTGAATTTCAAAGGTATCTCATTCGCAACTACTGAACTAGCCACCACAGCTTCACTAACGCTGCGATCAACTACTCCACTCGAGCCCGCTTGACGTCACTGGGATCACCGCTCTTACAGCTATTATGCTTCTTCAATTGGCTCAGCTCCTTCTTGTACCGTTCCAAATTCTGTTGGCCCTTCGTGAACCATTTGCGCGTCTTCGTAATAGCCACGACTGCATTTCCATTAGTAGAGCTTGCTTCCATCTCAAACGACGCGTTGACTTGGTTTTTGCGCGTCCATTCTGCAGCATGGTTCCGTGCATCCTTAAATCCTTTAAATTTATAGATATCTCTTGTCATTCGCATCGTAACATCAGGACCTCGAAGGAATTGCTGCACCGTGGAATTATCTGCGAATTCAGCGTCCGGCATCTCCCAAGAGAACGGCCTGTCGTACGCTTCAATTTGCTTCTTGAGCCAGCCAACACGTTTTACAACCAGCGATGTCAACAGAGAATATCTTTCATTTCCTTCGTCAATTTCATCAAAAGACTGTACGATTGTCTTCACAGTTCGCCTCAGCAGACGCGCATCCGTTTCCTTGAACATATTCACCACATCCGTAAAAACAGTATTGATTTTACAATGGATGGCATGTTTCCAAATTATTTCAACCATTTCGTCACAGCACAACTCATCATGAGCAAATTTTGCAGCTTCTTGCACTGCAAGTTTCAATAGTGCGTTCTTAGCGGTTCCGTTGTCCAGTGCATTCATGACGTCCAGTGCCAATTCGAGGTGCAGAGCTCCAACCGCTTCATCGTTTCCGTACCGATGAACGTGCTTCCCAAGTACTTTCAGAAGAACGTCACCAATACTTCTCCAGTCGAAGGTACGGACTATCAATATAATAGATGGGATAAGGATTTCGTTACCTTCCAGACCATCCAAGTCAGGACACAGTTCGGAGAAAAAGAAATTGACAAGATCTGGATCACCAGCATCGACCAGTAGTTTGCATACAGTCCGGCAAAATCTGACGGAAACGATATCACTCTCGCTCTCCCATGAAAAATCCTTTTGGTCTTCGAATCTTGCTCTCAAATCTTGCAGGAACGTGCGAAGTACTGTTGCGTCACCTGAGCTGTGAGCATACAGTTTCTCAATAGCAACATCCTCTGGCATCAGTTTTAACACGTTCTCTGTATGTTTGGCGACTGGCCACGCGATCACAGCGTATCTGGAATATACTCGGCTTTCTAAAGTGTTCTCTTCCTTAAACATCCCGTGAGGCATCCACAGCTCCCAAAGTGTTTCCTGGCCAGGATTCAGGAAATTTAGCGAAGCTGACTTTAGATTGCGTATGTTTCCCAAATATTCCCCAGCTAAAGAGTACCATTTTATAGAATTCATGCGCTTGTTAATATGTTGCTCTCCGAAGCTTCCGAAGTACGAAATATCGTGCGATAATTGAGCAATGAATAGCTTCAGCTTTTTCTCAGGAGAAACGACTGCGTTCGCTCTTAAAACCACTCCAAGTCTTGCACGATCAAGGCCCTTCAGCGCCACAAAACCCAAACTGGCAATACATTTCTCAGTATACCCATCTCCCAACAACAGCGCAAATGATTCATCATCTTCTTCGGGATTCATGCTTTCTATGGCTTTGACCAGCTCCTCAGTTATGGAACCATCTCTTTCAAGATGGCGCACAGTCAACGGCACGTAAAGTGAGTACACCAAAAAGGGACAGTACCCCTTCGTTATCTTGTCTATAGAGCACTCGGCGTCTGCATAATACACAGCGTAATGCGCGAGAAACGGTGACATGCCGTCTGCCTTGCCCAAATCATAATGATATCGCTCATCTCCGCGATTCACCACTAAGCCACCTCCTTCATGCAAACTTGGTAATTGAATTACCAATGTTGCAAGCGACACATTCTCTTTCTTAGTATCTCGGTGCTTGACGATGTGTTCCCCCTCATCGTAGAGCACCAGACCGCATAGTACACGCTGTAACGAGACGTCCTCGTACCCCAACCGATGCGAGATTGTATCCGTCAATTGTTTGAGACCCTTTTCCCATAGTGGATTCTGTAATTGGACTAGATCCGGCTGTAGGTGCCAACTCTTTCCTGCGTTTTCATCCTTCTTGGTGTCGAGATTGTGACCGAACGGAGACTTCTCGCATCGAGCAATTAACTGCTGCGTCTGCTCTGAACAAACTGGGACTGGCACATGACCTACGCCACCGACAAAAAGTCCTGGTGCAGAAGGAAGCGTATATGCTGGCCCTCCAAAAGAGAATTCACCCTCGTCTTCATCGGCTCTAGCTAGTACTTTGTTGATCTGGCGGCATCCACCTCCGGACGGGATTGGTGCATCGTCTGGATCCCCTTCGCTACCAAAAGGCCAGACACCCTCTTTGAAATCGTTCTCATCGCCTTCGATGTAGGTGTACATTTTGGCAAGATCGGAGAGAATCAAAATATGAGGACGACCAAGGATGTGTGTGATGGTCTGCACGCCTCAATCATCTTCAACACACGATTGAAATGAGTTGATTAGAACCTCTAGACATTTTAATAGAACTTTACTCGCGGTTAAAGAAATACTGTACCTATTTGTTGCAAGAACAAGTCAAGGTAAAACTGGTAACTCATATAAAAACGAACCTACCAATGGAGTCTACAATGATCGCAGCGGCATTTTTCACGTAAGAGCGTCACAAAAATGACTTAGATCCACAATGGCCTTATTAAAGATTCTTGCATATTACTCCATACGAACGCGCTTCTTGTCACGACCACAAGTGTCCCCATCGCGATGTTTTTTCAACTGGTTTAGCTCCGCTGTGTATACCTTCAAATGCGCTGACGTTCTTCAAACCACTTGCGCGTTTTCGTGATTTTCACGGAGGTATTATAGTCTTGAACGAGGCATTCACCTGATCTTTTCACATCCATTTAGCTGCGACGTGGGTTCCATCATGGAAACTTTAGTTTGATCTCACGGAAACGTCTCCACCTCGCAATTATCCGGGAATGTCGCGTCGGCCATCACCCACCACTGAATCCGTTTCGTGGCGATGGCTGCAAGTTCTCCAGCCTCCGTGATATTACTCCAGAACGGAAGAATTTTTTTTCAATGACTGGCCCCAGTAGACTGGGATCAATTATGTTGAACATTGTTGCCACCTCATTGAAAACGGCCTCGTTCCGGTTCAGGGTTTAAAAGCTGGGGGGGGGGATATATGGCATATCATCTGAAGATATGGGGGATTCAAGCATGGAAATGGCCCTTCAAATCATTGCTGGATTCGATAGAGGAGCTGCACAGGACGCCCTTATAAAAACGGTCGTGGAAAATGCAAAAAAAAAACTCAGCGAAGAGTATTTGTGTTCCTCAAAAGGTGTCGAACTACTGTTGAAACAGTCAATACGTTGTAATGACGTCACCAGAATCTTTCCAGTCGAATGTCCGTATAATCTTGATGATCCAGGTACCAGAGTAGGTGCAGGATCACCGGCAGGCGCGAGCATCTTTCAAATTAAGCGGCAAAATTTCACAGAGAGGTGAGTCCTCTTCTCTTTCTGCTTCGAGTCTTGCTCCGATGTCATAGATTAGCTTTTCATTGTGCGACTTCAATATTTCCGCGAGTGTAAAACGCTTCAACGACTGCATCCACCGGCATAAATGTCAATGCTCCTTCATGAAGAACTGATGGCCACGCTATAATCGCGTTTGCGATGTGTGTGTGAAGATATTGCTTTCTATGTTCCCCTTTTCGTTGGATCTCCACAGCTGATCAAGCGTCTTTTGCTCCGGGTTTAGCGACATGGTTGGCACATCCAAGACTTTCGCCACGGACGTCGTATCCGTGGATGGCCTTCTGACGCAAACTCTGATATTACAAATGGCCAATCCAAATCTAGGTTCTGAGGTGCAGGAACGAATGTGTTGGTATCTTCAAAGGCGTTTAACCGCACAATGTCGATGCCTTTCAGTGCTCTAATACCGAGATTTTGGATGTTGTTGTAAGTATACTCGTGAAACAACAGTAGCGCTAGTGAAACGTCTTCGGAATATATATCTCAAATAGGACTAGCGATAACTTCAGCCTTACTATCCGCAGATGAGCGCAATTTGCTGATTTGAATGCAACCGTCTCCTTCGGGGACGGGAACATCGTCCAGTTTATTCCCACTAAAAAAAGCCACTCGTCTCTTTTAAAGTCTTTCTTGACACCCATTTCAACTGGCTGTATGCTAGTGCTTCTTTACAAGTTCACAAGTAAAAGAGGAAATGAAAAAAAATTACACGAGTTTAGCTGCCGAGTCAAAACCAGTCAATTTGGAGCGATACGGACGTTTCCCCAGGTATTATAGATCGACAGCCGTAGACAACCATGTCTACCTCTTTCCGATTCCCACGAATCTGCTCAATAACAGAGACAAATTGATAAATAAAAATAGTAAATAGTATCTTGCCAAATCGTTTTTTATTTAACTGTCTCCAAGAAATCAACTGGACACTATCCAGAAACTTGGTTCCGTTATTCACGACGGCATTTTTTCTTCTGACTGCCTGTAGCGGTATGGTCGTAGAGCTTTTCAAGGTCATCCAGCTCAGCCCTGTATTGCACTAGCTTGTCTTGGCATCTGTTAAACCACTTCCGAGTTTTTGTGATCGTCACGAATGCCTTCTTCCCTTTCCCGGCAGGTTTCATTGTAAACGTGGCGTCATCTTGTTTTTTACGTACACACCTAGCTGCATACTTACGTGCATCGGGCAGACCGCTAAAAGCTATCAGACCCTCGGTCTTCATACTGGTACCGGGACCACGCAAAAAGTCCTCAATCGTCTTATTATCTGGGAAATTTGCATCTGGCATCTCAAACGAAAAAGGTTTATCCAGCAACCGAATCTCCCTCTTCAACCACTTCGCCCTTTTCGCTCCAATAGACGCAAGTGCCACAAACTTATCGCTCGTTTCATCAAGCTCACCGACATATTGTGAAAATGCTTGAATTGCTTGACCCAGCTCACTTGGATCTTTTGACATGAGGTGGTTTGCCATAGTTTCGAAAGGTTCTATCGCCGTAGATTGAATAATATTTTTCCAGAGAATGTCGATAACACTGGGCGAATTCAAATCCAGTTCCGTACAATTCATATCTGACTCCCCTTGATCGATTTTCACTGCTAAATCAACAGCCAATTTTAACAGTGCCTGCTTTCCAGGTCCTTCTTCCAAACCATCCAGTACCTGCAGAGTCATTTCCAAATGAGTAACACCGAAATTATCTTCCTGATACACACTTGTTACATTGCCCAGAATAGCCAACAGCGTATCTCCAATTTCACCCCAGCCAAAAGTGCTCACTATCTTTGTAAGCACCGGAATCAGCGTAGTGTTCTCGTACAACTCGCCAAGGCGAGGGCAAAATTTGGAGAAGAACAACTTTACCAGTTCCACATCGTCAATATCTAACAAAAGCTCGCAAAAAGAGCGACAGAATCTCACTGACGCTTTAGAACCACTCCAGTTTTCACAATTGAGCCGGGAATCAGCAATCTGAAGAACATTGCGTAGAGTCGCTTTGTCAGCTGGGCGTTTCTCCATCAGGGCTTCCACGCCAAGTTCCAAAGACATATGCTTCAAGGCATTTGCAGTGTGCTGAGAGGCTGGCCACGCCACAATTGCGTATCTTGAATACTTAGTATTACGTGTCGGACCTTCGTTACCGGTGTACGGCTCCTCCTTGCTAGTTCCATACGCCTCCCACAACTGAGTGTATGTATCTTGACCAGGATTTAGAAAGTTCAGGTTCGTCGCCGATGTCGTCAAGTCCTTGTCCTTACTGCTTCCTAGATCTTTACCGCTCACAGAATACCAGTGAATTGTTTGAGAGCGTTCCACTTCTTGCCAGCCACCGACCAAAGCGAGACCTAGAATCGAGATAATCTTGTGCGAGAGTTTTGCAATGAAGATTCGCATCTTCTTATCAGCGGGTACGACAGCGTTTGCTTCCTCCAATGCTTGGAACCTCGCACTATCAACGCCTTTCAGTGCACCTGACCCCATCTTTTTAATGCTTTTCTTGGTGTATTCATGGGATAGCCTCAACGCGAACGATTCGTGGTTCAATTCCATTTCACTAATCGCATCTGCCAGATCATCACTCATAGGCATGTTGGAGTCTTTTTTAAGATGACGCATTGTCTTTGGTAGACAAATTGAGTAGACCATAACCAGGCGATACCCTTTTGTCACCTCTTCCAATGCATGCTCTGCATCCGCATAGTGGACAGCGTAGTGTGTAAAATACGGGGCCGTGCCATCGATTTTGCCAAAATCGTGGCGATACCTCTCTTTTCCGCCTCGAAACACTACGAGATCGCCCCCGTCATGTGTGCTTGGTGGTTGAACCACCAATGTCGCTATCATTCCGTCTTCTTTTTCCGTATTTTGATGTTTAACGAAGTGTCCTCCTTCTCCGTAGACCAGCAATTTGTACAGTACACAATCGAGCTGGACGTTCTCGTAGCCTAGGCGTTGAGAAATAGTAGCTGTTAGCTCCTTGATACCGGAAGTCCATTGTGAATTTTTGAGCTTCACTTTTCGAGGTGCCAGTTGCCAGCTCTTTCGCACGTTCTCATCCGTCTTCGTCTCCATATTGTGACCAAAGGGGGACTTCTCGCATTTTGAGATCAGTTTTTCAGCTTGTTCCGGAACGAGCGGAAGTGATATCGCCCCCACGTCATCGATAAACAAGCCGGGCGCGGAGGGCAAACTGTCTGCAATACCTCCAAAGGAGTATTCACCAGCCTTTTCATCTGCTGACGCTAGGATTTCGCTAATCTTGACGCAAGAAGCACCAACTGGAACAGGCACCTCGTCGAAATCGCCATCACCACCAAACGGCCATTGGCCTTCTTCGAAGTCTTCCTCAATTGAAACCATTTAGGTGAAGCCAGCAAATTGGAAAGTGGCAGAATGAAACATGATTCTTAGTAAAAAAAAATTCTCGATTGATGGTTTCTGAACTAAAATTCCAGTACCTTTAATGTAAAAAAATCAATCTGTCCCAAAAGTCTGAGAAATCTCCTTGTTGTTTCTGTTATCTAACTGACAGGGAGTACCTATGCATTCAACTCTTTTCTTGTGATGTTTCATCCGTAAAGTATTAGTTTACTTAAGCTGGTGTTGTGGATCTTTTTTTACTGTCTTGAAAAGAAGAATATTGTAAAATTTGTTTTACTACAGGTGGTCGGCAGCGGTTGACCACAGAACACTGTCATTTATTAGAATTACCACTGCGGTTTACCTGGACCTCTTCAGCAGGTCAAAACCTCCTATGAAATCCATTTCCCAAAGAAAAGTGATCTTGCTTCTTTGGCGCATAGTCCGCAGCATGTCGATTGGCAGCAAGAAGATCCTCAAACGTTTTCGACTCTTTTGTAGTCATTGACTGGTAAGGAACTCGTAGAAACGCGTGGATTGTTTGCGTTATCGAGCCCAGCGCTTCTGATTTCCGTTGTCAATCCAATATTGCACTAAGAACTGTATCAAAGGGGCCAAACAGACTCGTTTCGGTGTCTCTGAATCCTTTAAGAAAACAACATTAAAAACCCTTCATCGCCCCATAGAAGAACCCATTTCCAAAGCAACCGAATCAAATTAGACGTGGACAAGTTCTCACCAGTCATTTTAGCTGCCAGATCAACAGCCATTTTGGTTAAGACTTGCTGAGCGGAAGTAGTATCGAGTCCATCGACTACGCATAGTGCCATCTCCAGAGAAGACAGTCCGTCATTTTTTTTCTATCACCACTATCTTAATCGCCAAAGTCTAGCAACTTCAAAACAGCATCGTCAAATTCGGACCAGGAGGATTTGCGGACAACCAGCACAATGCTTGGTATAGTATCATTACCTTCCTCATCGCAAAATTCATCACGATAACATCCAAGAAACGAGTCCACAAACTGGGAGACTTCAGTGTCTGCCAGTTGCTCGCAAACAAGATTAAAGAACTTCATCGAGTGCTCGCTCGTCCGAATCTTCGCCACCATCGTTCTGAGTTTTAATGCTCTCCAATAACTGGCTGAGTGAAATACTACGAACTGATTTGCAGTAATGGAGAGCTTCAGCAGCAGATTTTTCTAAAGGGATAGTTCTTACCGCATTTCCCGGGTATTTCACTTTTACCTACGCACCTAGTGTACGTAGTGACATGTGTAGACCCCTCATTACTAGTGTACCCGCCTTGTTTAGCCCGTACATATGCCTAGCCCAACAAGCAGACAATTTTTCTTATCTTGGGTTAAGAAAATTGATCTTTTCTGTAGAGTTTCCAACTTTTCCCAGGCCTGCTCCAGTTGAAGTGTACCAAGTAGTCGAATCCTGATATTACCAAAATGATGATAATTCTTGTTAGACGTGCGTGTCATCACAAAGTATTAATTTTGGGTTTTCCGTGGAAATTCAAAAATTGAGACGCAACAACTCCTAAGTATAGCTTACTTGCCTGCTGGTTGTGATGCTACCAGAGTGAGAACGACGTTACGTCTTGATCCCATTTTCAATGACAATAATAGCGGATGCGCCCCATACAGTACGTGATATTTTTGCATCATTTACAAGTTCACCTTTCAGCACGCACTGAACACGATGGGAGACGTGAGCCATCACGAAGACATTACCGAGGTGAAGGATGACCTCACGCCCAAAAAGGTCGACTTGGGTTCCAAGCGCTACAATGCCGTGTTCTTGGTGTGTGGGATGCTGCGTCAGATCGCTCTTGTGTCCATCGCTGCTATGGGGCTTTGGCCCCTGGCTTTGCAAGTCATCCTTGTGCCTCAAAGTGTCTTTGGAGATGGACACGGAGATCGATACGAACAACTGTCCTACTTTGCCTTTGAAAACGACCACTACCAAGTACTCGCACCCCGCTATTTGGACTGCGTTGAGCTTCAAACCGTGCTCTTCAGTGGAGCGACTCCGAAACCTACGACAGATCTCGTGCGTGCTGTGCCTCAGTCAACATTTGAGAAAGTTCGTGCTCTTGTGGTGAACGAAACGACAGGAGACCACGCCACAATGTTGTCGGTATCCACGGACATCGTCGCGCTTCCAGCTGACAAAAGTGTGTGCTTTGGTGGCGTAGACGATGAAGGTGCAATTCAGGTTGAAGCGCTACTAAGTGCTCAGGATTCTCCAATATTCGGCGTGGATGCATCATGCTTGGAAACGAGCGACGCTCATGTTCGTGTCCGACTACAATCTACCGAGTTTTACGTCCCCGACACGATGGGGGAGCTCAATCCGTCTCGAACTTCTGGTGCCATGTTGATTGCTTCTCTTGTTGGAGCTAATCTGGACCCTGTGGAGAGCTCGTGTTACGATGCAACACGTGAGGCACGGTACATAGAGACACAGGGCAATTCCCAGTATCTCCGTCTGGTGTCGGTGTACTCGAAACAATTAATAGTTCCCGAAACTTGCGATGAATTCAACCTTTATGGTGGCAAACGAGACCAATTCGGCTGTGCGTACTCGGCTCTTGGTACGTCGGGAGCAGTGGCTAACTTGAATTCGGACGGAGTGCAACGTACATACTCGTTCCCAGCACCTTGGCGAATGATTCAGTGTAGCTTGTCTGGCGAGTGTAGCTCACTGTTGTTCACGCAGATGTGGCTATCTGAGTGGACTGTGGAGAAGACTTCATTGGGTGAGGTGGTGCGACACAACTTTGTGAACCACAAAGTGAATGAAGTCACAGTGGACAGCACATTTAGTATTCGACTTGTGATCAGCTTGCAGATCTTAGCACTCGTTGTGACGGCATACTTGACGAGTATGCGTGGATGGCACGAGCTCAAATGTGCCTTTGTGTCACCATGGGCAAGAGTAATGAATGCGACAACGTCGTGTACTATTGCGAAGGTTGTGCGGAGTAGCTATAACTTCATTCTGGTTGCTCAAATGGTCTTGGGAATGATTCAATGGCGTAAACAGTTAACCATCGACTTGCTAGTAGGAGCCGATACGAACGAGGCTGTGCTTCGAGCATTTGGATGTGGAACGCTGGTAGTAGTACTGGCAATTAATATTGTCTTTGCTCGTGCTGGAGATCTAAAGATGCAAGAAATGGAGCCGAGTTTCGCGCACGTCGTGGGATTCCTCGCGTCTATTGTCCTCTTCGCGATCAGTCGATCCAGTTCTGTATCTGCATCAACCCGAACTCTTCTTGCTACGGGTATGAGCTCAGTATCAGCCAGCGATGTAACCAAGCATTCAGGTTGTCGCGGCTCCGCTGTCTGCGCTAGGAATGTATCACTCAGCGTTTACACTGTTGTTCTTGTGATCGTCATTTTTACGGCAACTTTCATTGGATTGACGATGCATGCCACGTTACAAGCCTTGGTTCGTAAAAGTCCGAAGGTCGGAGTGGGCACCAAAATGCCGTACAAAATCGGAGTTTCAAATGCTGATTCTGCACCACCAGAAGTTAACTCCTTCACTCGATTTTTGGACGATCGATCGCGTAGTACGTCGCTGTATGACTGTAGCACGGAGGTGTATGTACAGCTGTCGCCGGCGGATGCATTGCTTTCGACGCGAGCACAACTGGAGGCGAGTGGATTTGTTCTGGCCACATCAATCCTTTTTCGATACCGAGACCTTCCTCTGTTTCTTGTTGCTCGTATTTTGCCTATTCAAGTGCTAAACTTCTTCAACATAACGGTGACAACATACGAGCTTATCCACACGAGCAGGACATTGAACGATGTTCATATCGGACTTGTTGCGGATCAAGTGATTCACACGCACTGGTCCAAGTTGAAAGAGGGGAGACTGGACTGGATGAATGAGTATTTCGGTGGCAATGGTGAGACTTCGTATCGATCCTCAAGAGAGTCTATGAAACGACAGTCTATCCAGAAGCGAGCGGATGCGTAGCTAAACCGACTACGCTTATCAGATCATGACGCGCTTTTTCCTAATTCATGACTGAATTAAAAAGTGATAGGATACCCTCGTAATATGTATTTTCTTGCAAAAATATAACTTGATCTTTTAAGATCAATTAAAAAGCAAGCATAAAACATACTCATAATTGAGAGTTACCTAGACAACAAGAAAGCTAGATTGAAAAACTATTAGGTGAATAGTGTTTTAGAACGAGTACCTGTATCATTTTTTACCAAGCACCTGCTATCGATCTTCTACACGAATACCGCATCATGCGAGAGGAGCTCGCTTGGTGGAATTGCCGGCCGTGCCACCGTTCATCTGCTACATTAAGCGATTGATTTCTGTCTTGTTATTTTGCAATCGCAGTTGACATTCCGCAAAGTATTTTGCGCGTTAATGTAATGGTAACAGCTGCGTTACCGTTTCTTGAACTCGCCTTCAACTCGAACGAAGAGTTGGATTGCATGGCGCGAGTCTATTTAGCAGCGTAGTTTCGCGCATCTTGGCATTCCTTGAATTGCGGGCTGCTGTCGTCATTTTCGTCGACATGTCAGGGCCTCTTAGAAACTCCTGAAGTTTGTCGTTATCTGCTAGTTCAGCTCTAGGCATTTACCACGTCAATGGTTTACTTCAGCCATTCATTTTTTCTGATAATGATGGATTTCAGTACCCAACTATTTCGTTGCTTGGGATAAGCTCTCCAATATACTGCACCAATGCATCGACTACCAAGCACAGCAGACTAGAACCCATCTCATTACATTTCGTTGCGGTGGTATCGAAGATCTTGGTATAGTTAGAACGGATAGTCCACTTCCACAGGAGATTTGGACCTTGATAGATTGCAAATCCTTGGCTTCAAGCTTTGCAACCTGTTTTGCCGCTAACACCTGCAGTTCTTGTTGCAGAGGTCCACTATCCAGTCCGTCAATGACTCGCAACGCCACCTCGACATCGAGGTCAGGGCATGGTCCTCTGCGTACCAAGTTCTCCAATTAGCTGCTGTATTGTAAGATCCAGAACCGCTGGTTTAATGTCGTTCCAGTCAAACGAGCGGGTATTGTTTTTTGAATGAATAACCGTGGGGCGGCTGGCAAGGCATCGGCCTTTCCTCCAAAGGAATACTCTCCAGCTTGTTTGTCAGCACGCCCAAGCACCTCGCTAATTCTAACGCAGC